ATGTGCAGAATTAACCGTTTGAAAATGATTAGAGCTTGAATCACTCTTTCATTTATTGTTCTAACACACAGTTAGTAGGACGTGTGTTCATAAAAAACATATAACAGCCGAAATAATATCTGATTAAATAAGATATTTACCACCCCTACCATGGAGGGAAGTAAACATCCTAAAGTATCAAAAATATAAATTCGCAGCTGGCTGGGAATTGAATAGAATATAAATCCACAACATTAACGTGGCATCCAACCCGGATGAGCATGGAACATAAAATCACAACATCGTAACACAAATCAAAAATCAGATATTTCTCAGCAGCTACTGCGGCTGTGATTGGCTGAAAGCTCGACATGGGAGGTGGGTACCCAATCAGCTCAAAGAATTGTACTGAATGTCCCTTCCTTTTGCTAACATGTTCTACAGAACGATACCCAGATTGATACACTGTAGGAACTGAATTGAACTACGTGTTAATTTGGCTTATGTCAGGTTAAATATGTGGGCCGGATGCAAAAAAAAAAAAGCCCTACCACGGCTCTGTATTGATGTTTCACAAGGCTTAAAGGGCTTTCACAAAACCAAAATGGAGTTTAAAAAATCTTTTATCTTGGAATAATAAACAAGTTATGAAGTGTCTGAATGCTATTGTTTTTTAAGAAGAGCAGAGAAGATTTAGAGAAAGAGGTGGAAAAGCCCTTTAGCCTTTTGCTGAACTGGTGTTACGAAAAGAAGAGAATGCCAGCTGAGATGTGTCTCACCTGTTGCGCTCTAAACTCTTGAACACTGATGATCAAGTGTCCTGAACTGACCACCGTTTGAGTGAAGGAGGCCATGGGGACATTTTTTTTTAATCAAAATGAAAGAGAAAATGATGCTTACAAATGATAACGCAGGAATGCTTTTAAGAGGTTTGNAGTGAAGGAGGCCATGGGGACATTTTTTTTTAATCAAAATGAAAGAGAAAATGATGCTTACAAATGATAACGCAGGAATGCTTTTAAGAGGTTTGTAGGTGGCTTTGAATTGTGATGTTCCTATCAAGTCTAGATTTCTTTGAGAACATTTTCCACAGGACAGACATTCATAAATCTTCTTACCTGGGAAGGCATTGTCTCCTGTATCTTCAGCCTCCTGCTTCAGAACACGCTGCTCTTCATGCTCACTAATAGGGACCTCCATGGTTTCCTCTTTTGTACAGGAAAGTTCTGGTTCTTGCTGCTCTTCTTTTATCTGCAGAGGTTCTGGTTCCTCTTGATCCAAACTGGAATTCCTCTCCTGTCCACAGAGCTGCTGGTCAGAGAAATCCTCCTCTTTTCCACCATAATCCTGCAGGCGGTCTGGAAAGTGAAACACAGCAAAAAGGCGTTCTATTGGTGGTTAAATAAAAGACACCTCAAATAAAAGCACCAAACTCTGTCATTTAGTTTGAGGAACAAGTGAATCCTGTCAAGCAACCTGAAGATATGAAATTCATTCTGGCCTAAATTTGTTTAAAGCAAGTAAAGCATTTACATCCAACACCACAGTGACTGTCTGGCAAATAAGGGAGTAATGAGACACCCTAGCCTCAGCAGAGCTTTCTGTACATCTCTGCCTGGAAAAGACCCCAGCTCAACATGTCAGAGGCTGAGCAGATTTTCAACGATTTTCTAATGAAATGTCTGTGTTCTATCGTATTAACAAGAAGCATTATGGTAAGAAAGAGAAAATCAGGCCTAAATGATAAAGCCATCTGGACCAGCTTAATAATTTTTAACTAAACATCAGTAGGGCAAGAGAGTTGTTTCTTTTTCTTCTTGTAAAAATAGTTTGAATCGTTAAATTAAGTGAGAAGAAAAGAATTCAGTTGATGATAAGTCTAGACTGTGTGTGTATTTTCAAACCATGCCAGGGGAGTGTTGGGGCATGGGATAAGAGATCACATGAATGATTGAAGACTAAACTTGACATTTGAAAATCCAAAACAAGAAACGGCCAGAAGATGGCAAAAGTAAATCTATATCTACTACTTGCATATACCACATTTCTTTTAATATCCAGTTTTGCTGCTACGAGTTCCTGGAGGACAGCATGCAGAAGCAATCGCCTGGTTCACCTACCTTCCTGCACCAGGCGCTAAATGGCTCGCCATCTCGCCCTGTCTCCTCCAGCCATGCCCACATCCATTTATGTTTTAGACCTTTATCTATGGTTCTGACATCTTCCATGGAGTGCACTGTGACCACTCCATGCAAATCTGTTCTCTCTATCGTCCTTCTCTTCAAACACAAGGTTTCATTTATTTATCTTTTCAATTTTTAAACGTTTCCGTTGAATGGAGCCATAACTGCGCCAGGTGACTTTCCGTGTAGAGCTTTAGCGCAGTACAACAATCTATCTGGCGACTTGAGCAACAAAGGAGAGGAGGTACATGCTTTCCTAAGACCCACCCCCTTCTTCTTCTGATTGGCTAATACTGTTAGGCTACGTTCACACTGCAGGCCTTGATGCTCCATTCTGATTTTTTTTTTGTGAAATCCGATTTTTTTTTACATTGCCGTCTATAGTTCCAAATAGATGTGACTTGTATGTGATCTCCTGTGTGAACTGCAGTCATACAACACAAGTGTCCCGCATGAGCAGTAGAGGACGCAATGACGTCACAGTCCAGCATGCTCTTTTTTTCCGGAAGTAAACATGGATGGTAGTGCAGGAGCGCATCTAGCGATCTTTTCCAACCATAAAAACTCAATCTTTTCATTATGGTTAAACATAGATGCTGCTCTCCGCATCATCGTCTGCCATGGTTGTTGTTTTTCTTGCGCTTCTGCTTAGCAAGACGCATAATAGTGACGTTTGTCGGGTATTAATGGCGTTCTGGTCAGATGGATGCGACCTGGCCGTTCAAACACAGGTCGCATTAGAAAAGATCAGATTCGTATCGGATTCAGGACCACATAGCCAAGTGACCTGGGTCAGATTGGGAAAAATCGAATCTGTGTTGTTCAGACAGCCATGAAAAGATCAGATCCAGGTCGCATATGGGCAAAAAAATTGGATTTGGGTCATTTCAGGCTGCAGTGTGAACGTGGCCTAAGTCTCAGAGCGCTTCATTGCTACCATTGGCTGACAAACGCAAGAGGGATGTCGAATTAAATTTTTTTATTTATTTACCATCAATTTATTTTCCAGTGATTTTTTTTACCCACGGTAAGGTGACCAAATTTCTGCAATCTATTCTGGGGACATTACCAGCTGATAGATAAAAATAAATACATTTTCACTTTCATCCATTTTTATATATTTATTAATATTTAAACAAAAATCAAGTGTGAAATCCAGGAAAGTGCTTCTTCCATTTCCTCAGATAAATAACATTAAAGGGATCATAGAATGCAAAACCGAGTTTCCATTGTCATAGATAAATAACGATAGTTCAGGGGGTGAAATGGACGTACAGAGAAGTTCAAACCCCATCGACACCTCCTTTCTCTGCAAATCTCACAATTCTAAACTTCCACCGTAAAACGGGCGAATCCAAACGAAGCACCAAATTGACGTAAACTCAGGGATGTTGCCTTATTTGGTTCTGGTCTGTACTTTTGTTACGCCCCGAAATGGAAATACAGACCAGCCCACTGGTTCAATGGTCCAAGAACATGAATAGAGGAAGATATAAGACACCAGTTTAGGTGTTTAGCCTACAGTTGGGTTTACTGCTACAAGAATTACAAAGCAGGCAGTTTCTCTATTACAAATGAGCCAGAACCACGGGCGTAAATGCAGTGATCCAGGCTGCACAGAGAAAGGGGAACAGTATTCCCAAGGATCAGAAGACTCAACAGGCATGGAGTATTTTTGTGTATCAGAATATCCCTGCAAAGTTTGATGCTCAGCTGTTCATTTGCTCGAAGCATTTTACCGAAGACAGCTTTCAAGTTCTTGTCAGTTCAAAGCAGGACTTGCTAAACTTCTTTAGGGGGCGCATTGGCTGCTAGGCCGCTGACTGGACTGGACCGGGCATTCGAACCGAACCATCAGCTCCAGGGCCGGCTCCTTGCCCCCATCCGCCCGGGTTCCCAGACTAGCCTCAGAGCTTACGGCTAGGTTAGAGTGCCCTGTGTGTTTCGACTATGTGCTGCACTGTAGTCGACCAAAATCCCGGACAATTTTGAAATTCTCCCAGACATTTTTTCAGGTATAAAAAGTAGGACATGTCAGGGAAAAAGAGGACGTCTGGTCACCCTACTATGTCAACAATTTGATGTTTCAGTGAGTGAGTCCTTGTTGCTATGATGCGTCTTTGCTCAGCACCTTCGCTCGTTGTAAACCAACCAATCAGCACACAGCTCATCCAAATATTCATGATCATACCATGAAAGAAAGAAAACCTGTCGTTTCATTCTAGGGCTTTTAACCAGGCTGCATTAGGGCTCATAGAAGAGCAAATAGGCCATTTTCAGCCCAACCAATATTACACACCCTTTTCAGAGTCCTTAAGGACCAGCACCAAATACCCTATAGAATCATTCTATGACCACTTTAATAAATCAATAGTGTATATTAGAGACATTCAGTCTTCTCTCTCTTCTTCCCTAGTGAGAAATATAACATTGTGTTCAGGAACAGGATAGTTTGCATCAATAGAGTCTGTGGTTATTTCCCTCTTTTTCCATTCCAAAAAATTTAAATGAATTGTTGTAGCATCAGACTGATCTGAAATTTCCCTGAGAACCGACCGGCTTTCAGTTAGATAAAGGGCTCCCCCCTTTATCTAACTCGGTTAGTTGAATGTAGTTTTACTGAGGTGCTACAATGCTATATTGTTAATGCATTTGGAAACAGTAACCATTATAAGCTGAATGAAGTTACATTGTTTAAACGTATCTATTGGTGGGAATAACTGGATTTTAACAGCCTGTCCAGAAGCCACCCGGATGTGAAAGGCCCAAAATCCTGGTAAGTAAGCAGATTATAGTTATAATTATTCAACTAAGAACATTAAATTGGTTTTACCCCGATTTTGAATGATTCAAAAAAATCAACTACAACTCCAGTTCTAGTTAATCATACATTCATAACCTATAGGTAAAATATCACACAACCAGTCGGCTTCAGCAGATGGCCGCTCACACTGAGCCTGGTTCTGCTGGAGGTTTCTTCCTGTTAAAAGGGAGTTTCTCCTCTCCACTGTCGCTAAAAGCATGCTTATTGTGAGGGATTGCATTCGATTCAATGAGTTGATGCAATCAACTGGTTTTTCTAAGATAGAAAACTTTGAATCAATTTGACTGTATGATCTGGTGAACTGTAAAGTGACCTGAGGTGACATGTGTTGTGAATTGGCGCTATAGAAACAAACTGAATTGAATTGATTTTCTGCTTAGACCGCTCATTTAAAACAGTTAAGAAACAAACTGGAAAACAATCCCACCTTAATTAAGTTGTGACTAATGGGTTAGGCTCTGCCTCTTTTTCTATTCCTGCCTCTGTCTCTTCGAACCCGAGATAAAAGTGAGTTTTTTTCTCTCCACTGTCGCTACAAGCATGCTTAGTGTGAGGGATTGCCTTCGAATAAATGAGGAGATGTAATCAGCCGGTTTTTCTTAGATAGAAACCTTTGGATCAATTTGACCGTATGATCTGATTGAATTGTAAAGTGCCATGAGATGAGGTGTTCAGAATTAGCGCTATATAAATAAACTGAATTTAGTTTAATTACTGCTTAGACTCTTCGTTGACAAGCGTTAAGAAACAAACTGGAAAACAATCCCACCTTAATTAAGTTGTGACTAATGGGTAGGGCTGGACGATTTTATCATTTCAATTTTATTCGTGATGTGAGAGAGTCGACACCTTATAAAAAAAAAAAAGTTTTCAAAGACCAAACCACATTTAAGCAGCTCCGCACATAACCAATCAGTTGGAACAGAGCCACACACGTAGAAGAGTAGTAGCGCAAGCCGTGGTGAAGTTTGCAGCAAATAATTTCTCCAGCCAAACCATAAAACCTTCTAAGACTTTAAAAATGAGCAAGAAATCTGTTGATGGGAGTTCTGATCAGGAATGAAGCGAAAATACTGCCCAGAAGAAGGACGGCATCGTTGAAAAGAAGGGTCTGAGAAGTTTTGCTACTTGGAGGTACTTTGGGTATTTGAAGTCAGACGAACAACAAAGTAATACACCGTGCAAACTATGTCGAAGGAACTTAGCTACTAAAACAGGAAACACCAGATATTTTTTTCAGCATTTAACCCTCTCCAGGCAGATGTTGCAGATTTGCAACAGCTAAATGACACTTATCTAATTACTCCACATCCATATTTTAAGAGCTTTTGTCACTCAGAAGTAAAACCGAAGGACTTAGTTGTGTATTTTCAACAAACAGTTTCTCTCCAGCTTACCAGATCGCACTGCTGACTCACTTTTAACATGGCTGAGTCCTTGGTGTCAGTGAAACAGATTTTCTAAGCACTAATTTTATGTAAGTATCACTATCAATTTCCATCATTTTGAATTCAATACTACATAAGATGAATCATAAATATGTATAGATATGACACACGCCAATTAGTAGATTTTATCACCTCTGGGTTTTTCACCAGAGGCATCTCGATTTCAATGTTGTGAATCTGCAACGTGTGCCCAAACAGGTACCAATGGATGCTACATGCTTTATCTACTAGTTTGCCTATATTTTGAGCAACAGTTTATGAGATGTTGGTGGAGAAAAAGTTTGAGAAAAAGTTGTCTCTAATTTTGTGAGAGAATTTTTTTTTCCGCATTTTGTTCAGTTAATTATTTGTTTGTGACATTCAAATAAAGTTAACGTTCATATCAGATTCAGTCTTCAGTGTTAATTTACCACTCCGGTCCACTGCTGCAAATCTGCAACATCCCAGAATTCATTGCATGTGAAGGTCTCTCTCAAAAAAGTCTGAATTGTATATTGCTACCCCATATGATCATTTTCTTCAAATGTCAGAGTTTTCCTGCAACTACAACTTAATTTGAGCCTGAGAGGGTTAAGACAAGTCCACCTATTAAAGCACACACATTTATGCAAGACAGGTCATGCCCCCTTGAGCACCATTAAATCCACTACTGGAATTCACTGATTCACTTTCCAGTGAAAATTATCTGAGTGTGTCAGATCTCGAGCGGAGGCTGCAACTTTTCAGAACAAAGATTCTGAAGCCGTCCGACGATGAAACACGGCTCACCAAAGAACTGAAGATGACAGTCAATGATACCTGGGCGAAAAGTATGCTGATCCGATTACTGAGGAACTGCTTGATGTTGCAATGAGCGCAGTGTCTGAGATGTTGGAGGACGGATCAGAGAACAGAGGAAGCAGCATCAGAACAAGCAGAGGCGGGAGATGCTGACCTGAAGAAATGAAAACAAAAGTACTTGGGAAGCTTCTTTAAGAAATCAGAATCCAGTTCAGAACTCAATGACAGAGAAAGAGTTGAGTGGGAACTTAAAAACTACGTGATAGCAGCAGATGCAGACAGCAGGATGGACCCACTGCAATGGTGGGAGGCAAATGAAAAGAATTTCCCCAGATTTGGCGGCCTCACAAAGTGCTATTTGTGCATCCCTGCAACCAGCACACCCTCTGAGAGGGTATTTAGCTCAGGGGAGGACACTGTGACCTGTTAGATGGACGCTTTAAAACCTCAGATGGTGGATACACTTGTCTTCCCTGCTCGCAACTTGTGAAAAACAGAATAGCACACCTTTTTTTTTTTTTTTGAACTGATGCACATGCTTAATGCACTTCATGTTTTTGTTGTTTTTGAATGCAGCTAGAATTTGCATCAAGGTGTATATTTTTATTTAGCATATGGCCTAGTAGGGCCTGGTTTCTTCATTTGACAAAAGAATGTACAATGATTTTGTTTTTGTTCTGTGAAACCTGGAGGAATATGGACTGGAAAACACTCCAACGCCTGGAATGTTGTTTAAATCCATAAATTAGGATTACAGTCCTTTAAATTAGGATTTCTAATTATCATTCTCATTGCTTCATGTGCCTGTTATGACACTGCCATGGTTTATAACCATGTTCATAAAGTTGGCTAAAAGCTTGTTAAGCTATTTTTGTTTATTACATTTGTAATATTCCAGAAAAAACAAGTGATTTTGTTCATATCATCATATAAAATAGAAATCTAACATTTATTTTTTGGGAGGGGTTGGAGGGTCAAAACTAACCTTTTCTTTTATCACCCAGTATTTTCATATGGTGGCTAGAGCTAGAGCTACTCTGTTTTTGCTCCCATTACATTTCCAAATCTTGTCCTAATTAAATAAACAGCATGAAAAAACATGAGTCTACATTAACAGGCAGGTATTATTAGGGACATATATGAACCATAAAAATGATCCTAATAAGTACGGGGAATTACTGAGAACAGAGAAGGGTCAGGCAGGATAATGTTGAAATATAGGTATTAAAAGACATACATTTCCCTGCTACTCATATTTTATGATGAGTTTGCATATTTTTCCTCTAACTGTGCCAGTGAAGCTCACAGTAAAGAGAAAGTAAATGTATTTTCAAACTTCCTGTAAATTTAAAAACATTATTCTAATTGAAAGTTTTTTTTTCTGGATGCAAATACAATAATGTGTCTCCATTGAGAAACAGAAGGGAATATGAAATCACAGGTAACTTTATGAACATGGTTACAGACCATGGCAGTGTCATTACAGCCACATGAAGCAATGAGATTGATAATTAGAAATCCCAATTTAAAGTACTATAATCCTAATTTATGGATTTAAACATCATCCCAGGTGTTGGAGTGTTTTAAAGTCCATATTCTTCCAGATCCACCTGGACCCCAACTTTCAGGACTCTGCAGACTCACATGCTTTTAGATGCTGCCTGCTAACAATGAGGCTTTTGATCACAACACTTCACATTATTAACATCTATCAAACACGTGTTTAAGAGATCTGAGGCCAGAAATGGGGACATTTATTCTGACTCGTTTGTTTACGTTTTTTTTGTTTTAATGGGGCAACCCTGCAGCCACCTAATCTCTCCTATCATCTGTGTTATAGACCCCGTTTGTCAGAATTTAATCTGATTGTTTCTCTATTTCTGCCTTTTGTTCTACAGGCTGCATAAACAGTCGGTTCTAGAGCAGCTAATCTATCACACTCACAGCTTTAGCTTAGCATGCTGATCTCCTCTAAGCAGTTTTCCATTCAGATGAGGCTAAAATCCACAGTGTGCATCATCAGGGAATCGTTTCTATCAGGTGTTTCCTACCTATCCGGTGTAAGATGATCTGGGGGATCCTGGTGAAATCCAGCAGTAGATGTTGATCGTCCATCTTTTCCTCCGAATTGACCAAACTCCCTTTAAACTCCGTGAATGTTTCTTCAGCAGGAGTTAACTGCTCGGTGATAAACTCTCCTTGAAGTTGGACTGAAGACATTCTCACGGCAAACACTCCCAGATTATCAGCCTCTCTACAATGACTCCACACACAAGCTAAGCTAATGCTGCTAATGCTACCCGATCCCTGCCAGCAGCTCATTGCGCATGCGCAGCCACATCTACATCCGGGGGGTCACTCTCGATTTTATTTTGCATAAAATACCTAAAATACATTTCCCTCCCGAAAATTGTAAACATATGTAACTATAATGTGTTAAATATTAATCACGTATTTCCTGAGATAAATGCCCAAAATCCTTTCTGTTTTTTCACTCACTCATGACCGGAAATTACATCGCTGAACTCTATTTAATCACTGGATTCCTTTTTTTTCTTTCTTTTTTTATTGCAAATCTTTGAGAGTACAAAACAATGAAAGGACAACTTTTATACTCATTTCAATTCAACACAACATCTTAATAAATAAAGTCCCACAGAAACCCGGCAAACCATAAAATGGTGCATCATCGGACTATAAGCAAATAAATTATAAAGACACTAAACCATTTAATCACAAGACACCATCACATCACTTATTATGACAGAAATGAAATAACAAAAACAGTACTATTGTAAATAATTCAAAAAAAATATTAACAAAGGGCAGTCTTATATCAAAACAAAGTGTTTTAACAAGGATGATAATTTAACAGGTTTGGATTTAGTCAGTCTTAGAGATTTGTGATATAAATTAAAGTCATTTTCCAATGGCTAAAAGTGGGCTTTATTTTAAAATACCTACATCTATGAATAAAAAAAGTTCCCATTTGTATAAGATGGGAACATTTAGGAATATATAAGATATATTCCTAAATGTTCAAGGGCCTTATTTTCACTTACTAAACCAAATAAAATGATTGTGTCAGATAGTGGCAACAAAACAATGTTCTTAAAGTTTAGCCAGCTTTGGAAATCTGTCCAGAATAAAAAAAATTGGTTCACAAAAGAAGAATAAATGTTTCAAATTCTTAACTTTTCTCCAACAAAATAAACATTATTCTGTTTCTAATCTAAAGTTTGATGTCAAAAATTCTTTAGTTGGGTATATTTCATTGATAATTTTGAATTCCATCTCTTTAGCTTTAATGATCTGATCTGCTGTAAAGTCCTTTAAAAGGTAATGTCTTCTAATTTGATTTGGGAAAAGTTATTTCAAGAGGAATGTCCTCAACGTCCTATTATTTCATCTAATGTCCTGGATCTGAATCCAATCCATTTGCAATTACCTCAGTATTGGGTAAAGGTCTGAGTATACCTAAATATTTTTAACTGGAAATCTAAAAGGACAGGTTATAGAATTCAGCAGTGTGTTATACAGGTTTTTGAAGCACTTTAGGTTGTACTGGGCACAAAATCCAAAAAGTTCCCATCCAAATGAAGTAAATGGCTAAACAGCTTCTTTTTCAAAGACTCTGGTCCAAAGACTATAACTTTTGTTTTGTCTGCATTCAGAAGGAGAAAGTTAAGAGTCATCCAGGTTTTTATGTCTTCAAGACATGTCTGTAATCTATGTAATGGGTTAGCTTCATCTGGATTTATAGACAGATAAAGCTGCTGTGAAACAGTGAAAATTAATCCCATGCTGTCTAATAACTCTACCGATTGGGAGCATGTATAAAGTAAAGAGAAATGGTCCTAGCACTGATCCCTGTTGTACTCCACAGGTAACCTTTAAGCATGAGGAAGATGTTGTGCCATATGCCATGATCATACTTTTTGGACATTGGGAAGCAGTGTCCATATTTCATCCTGATAGGATGACCAG